ATATGTAGAAGAAAGTGCTAGAAAAGTTCATCTTCCTACAAAATTAGATTTTCAATTCAAAGGACAATAGTTTTTAGTTTCTTATCATTCTAAGTCTTCTTTTATACATTCATATAAGCCCACACTAATACACCCACTAAGAGGTCAAATTTGGGTACTGTCCCACAATATTTGTTGACCTACTTCTCTATTTTTTCATGCCTACTAATATGTAAAGGGAATTTTTTGATATGATTGTTAGCTAGATAAAAATTGATCAATTTTTCTTGTTGTGAAACTTGAATTAACCTACTCAGTGTTCTTTTGGCTGTCAAAATCAAACTAATCAATTTCTTATTCACTTTGATTTTTTTAATGCTTATTATTCTATAACTTTGACATTTTGTATTTCTATTGACTATTTATTTTACCCAACATAAATTTAGTAAATGGATAGAGAAGAAAGTCCAGAATGGAACACTGAAGAAAGTTGGGAAGTGACTTTAGAAGATAATGAGGAGGATAATTGTGGGGATCATCTTGCACAAATTTTAAATATTCAAGAACAACGATGACATATGGCTGCGGTTCAAGTTTTTTGCTATGTGGTCAATATATTCTACTTAGTTGAGATGAAATACTATTCACAATATGTGGATAGGTCAATTACCCAAAATAGTGGAGGAAGAGATAAGGTAAGACAAGAACTCATAACACAACTCGCTAGTAATGAAAAATGTCGTGACATCACACGTATGAGCCCGCATGCTTTTGTTAGGTTGTGTGAGATACTACGAGGCACTAGTTGTCTTCATGACAACAAAAATGCTCTTGTTAAAGAATAATTTATTTACTTGCACATAAGGTCACCAACCGTGAAATGTTCTTTTTTCGTTGATTTGGCAATACTGTAAGTCATTATTTCCATGATGTTTTAAGAGCCATCATTAGTTTGGAAGATCAATTTCTACAACAATCCACTAGTTTAGAGGTCCCTTTGCAAATACTTCACAATAATAGATATAATCCATACTTCAAGGTAAATATACTTTTGCACCTTTTTACAGGGAAAAATATTACTATTTATAAATTAATCTCTAAAAAGTGTATACATTTTAGGATTGTATAGGAGCAATTGATGGGACACACATACGTGTGAAAGTGTCTGAAGTTGATGCACCAAGATATCGAGGGAGAAAAAATTATCTGATACAAAATGTATTGGTAGAATGTGCTTTTGATATGACATTCACATATATTTTGCCAGGATGGGAAGGGATCGCATCTGATTCAAGGATATTAAAGAATGCTTTAACTAGAGAAGAAAAATTTATGATCCCTCGAGGTAATTTTAAATTATAGTTATAATATCTTTCAAGATTTAAGATATGTGTTAAAAAAATTACTTGGTAATTTTTATTTTCTAGGAAAATATTATCTAGTGGAAGGAGGGTACATGTTAAGTAGTGGATTAATTGCATCGTATAGAGGTGTGTGATACCATTTGAAAGAATATTCTACATGTACTTCAGAAAATTCCCAAGAACTATTTAACCATCGACATTCTTTCCAGTGGAATGTTATTGAGAGATCATTTGGGGTGCTACAAAAATGATTTTCTATTATTGGGAATAGTGCAGAAGCCCATTATCCTGTTAATAAGGTTACTGAAATTGTTCTAGCTTGTTATATCCTACATAATTATCTAATGGGAGTTGATCCGGATGAAAGATTAATTGCGGAGGTTAATCGAGAGCTTAGACGTGTTGCAGTTCAGATTGAGGGAGGATTCTTCCACAAGTAATGACGATCATGCAGCTAGGCAAGACACAATTATTAGAGACTCCATAGTAGCTATCATGTGGCAAGGCTACATCTTTCATAGGCCATGATGCTCTTATTTTATTCATCTAGCAGTTAATGTTATCAACTTAGTAATGATTGGGTGATATTACTTCACTTATTATTATATTGTCAAACTTTCAGTTATGTTTTGAGAATTATATTGTATGAAATATATTTTTATTATGTTGTCATTCGTTTGAACATTGATGATTGATATCTGTGTTATATTTGTGATTTGATTCAATTTAAAATTGATAAGTAGTGGATTTTGTGATGAGCAATCATTTTTATCGAGCATATCTTGTTATAACTTGCAGTTTGACTAATGGGAAAAAATCAAAGAAAAATGACAATATTGAAGATAGTAAGAAGGATAATGTGACGTGGAATGAATATTGGGATGAAGTTTTGATTGATGCGTTGTTAGAGGAGCAATTGAAAGGAAATAGGCCCAATGACAATTGGTTAATCATTGTTTTTAATAATGTTCTTAAAACACTTACTGAAAAACTCAAATTTCCGTTTGAGAGGGACCATGTGAAAAATCGTATGAAAACTCTAAAGAGTAATTTTTTGCATGTCATGAACTATTTAATGGCTTGACAATGAGTGGGTTTGCATGGAATCTGGAAACACAATTGTGGGAAGCCGAGAATGAAGTTTGGAAGGAACTCATACAGGTATATTGAAATAAATTTAATGCATCATGCAATTTCTCTCTTTATATAAGTACATGTATGGGTAACTCGTAGGTTTGCACTTGGTTCATGTCATAGGTAAAACCAACTGCTGCAAAATATAGGCATACTAAGATTTGCCATTTTGACAAGTTGTATGATCTCTTTGCGAAGGATGGAGCTACTGGTGAAGGTGCTATGACTGCAAAAAAAAAAAGGTCGTCAATGGAAAAAGGAAGGAAGTGGTATCCCCTTTGATCATAATGATGGGGTTGATGAAATTAGTTTCAACTTTGAGTCAACTTGCCCAATTTCTCCACATTTTCAAGTTACCTCACAAACTGTTACCTCATTGAAAAGCTCTAATTGAAAGGCTGCCTTGTAGATGTACTTGAGAGGCATATTGAAATCCTCAATAGTGGAATCAATAATTTCGCAGAGGTAATCAAGGAAGGAAATGCTATTATTGAGAGGGGAATCGCTATTGCAAATCGAGGTAGTCCTTGTTGTTACAATGAGGACGAAATATTTGATGCACTATTGAATATTGGAGTGCCAGAACCATTACAGCTGGATGCGTTTTTCTTATTGATCAAGAGTAAGGCAAACATGAGAGCATTCTTTGGAGTCTTGTCAAACCGCCGTTGGGAGCTTTTGAGCAAACTTACGTGTAGATCAGATAGCTCTTGAAAGATTCTTGGTTTGTAGAGCTGGTTTATGTGTGTATATGCGCGTACTCTACTGTTTATCTGACTTTTGTCTCCATGTTGTGATAAAAAACTACCATATTTTGGCAGATTAGTTGGTGAATTTTGTTAGAAGAAGATTTGATTAACGCACTAGAAAGAAAATATGTGAAGTGTGAATTAAACACAACTATCTGCTTTTTGGTCTTAATATTATATAAGCTACAGTTTGATGGGTCCTTGGTGTTGTACCGTTTAAGTTGTTATATATGCGTTGCAGTTTATCCTTTTTTAGTTCCATTTGCTAGGAAAGTTTGAATTCAATTTACTTGATAAAGGGCCAGTGATTACTCTATTACACTTTTACTTGATACAATGGACTGAACACTGTTCACGCCACTGTTCACATGTCTATTGTTTCTGCTTCAGTTGGATTGCAATTTCTGTTGTTCCTCAGCTATTGTCTGCAATTTCTGCTTCAACTGGATTGTTGCTTAGCTGTTGTTTCTGCTTTAGCTGGATTGGTACAAACTTAACCATGTGGATATTCCTTCAATTGGGAACACCAAGGAACTGACATTTTGCCTTTAGCTTGTGTTTACAAAAGTTTATTTGAAGGGGCTACGCTATTTCAACTTCAGCTTTTATGCTTTTAATTAATACCGTTTCAAGTTTACATTCAACAAGAGAAACGAATGAGCTCATGCGGAGTTGGTACCATTGCATTCATAGCTACTGTTTAGTCCCCCACTAATATAGCACATGCCCTGAGCTATTCTGGTTAGTCATTTAATTGTAGAGGTCCTCCATGTACTAGGTGGCAGCAAACAGCGAAAACATTTGTGCTAGGTTTATTTATTGTTTCCCTTTACAAAAATTTAGCCATGTAATTGGTAATTTTGATTTCAACTTAGGAAGGTTTGACTTTCATGTGCAACTGTCAGCTCTTGCTGCTGCAGAACGTTGCACTCTACAGAAACATGAAATCCAAAAGCGTTCCTTGCAATGCTATGATGATATCTTGTTAGATATATGATCCAAGCTTAGAATCTGGTTTGACGGCATGTATGCTGAACATGTGGTTCAAGTGTTTTGAATTCAACCTTTTTACCAAACCTTCTATGATAATTACTATAGAAAAAATTCACCTGTCAGGGTATAATAATAAATTTGGTGTATATATATATTTTTCTTTTTCATTCAATTTTTAATCTAATATCAAATAAAAGAAAATGTATCTCTTCAATTTTTTATCCATCATACCAAACATAAATGAGAGAAAATATATTCCTTTCCTCTAAGAATGTAAAATTTTTTTTATCAATTTTTCATCTTTCTTACCAAATAAACTGTTATTAAATGATGACATACATGATAATAATAACATGTAAGGACTTTGATTATGGTATCGATAAAAAAAATTTGGTACCGTACTTTTAAAATTTATTACTTTAATGGGTATTTTAATAATTTTTATGGCTCATTTTATAACAAAAAAAATTATTACTTTTATAACTATTTTTATCAATATTAAAAAAATAATAAAAATATTCTATAGGTATAGTACCTTTTTTTTTTATTTTTTGAGGGGGGACCATATACAACTCCTACATTTAATCTTTTATTCACTACGTGGGACCAAGCACCGTTCACGTGTCTCAACGACCGCCACTATTGATTGAATGCACGAAAAGTTCTACAACACCTTTTGGTAGTCCACTGACACTACTATGGAGGATCTGCACATAATCAACCCACCTCCCTGGCCCACACTTCCATACCACCAGAAAATAAACAGCTCACATTATCGGTCTCTCACTACCCCTTCATACCTACTTTTTCTCCCTCATTCCGAAAACTTTCTTCATTTGGTAAAGTAAAAATCGTTTCATTTTCTCTTCTTTTACCAGAATGCTACTACTCTCTCCGTGATTGCTAAGCTTTCGTTTTCGTATCCTTTGCGTATTTTCCTTTCTTTTTCTCTCGGGAAAGGAGAAGCAGAAGGAAGTTATTTCGAGGTGATTTCTAATTCCAATTCGTTCTCCTTATTATCAGTTTTTCCTTTACTAATTTTGATTTCTTACTGTTGGAATTGAAATCCTAGCAGGAAATTTATTGTGTTTGGTTGGTAGGAAAATGATTACATTTATATATGATGATTACATTTTAGCTGTGTTAATGAAGAAGTTGTTGTTATGACTACTTACAAGTTACCAGAGTAGTTGTGTATTTCCTATTTTTGGAGGAACATGTGTCCTTTTTCTAGGTTGGATTGAATCATTATTTTCCGAATGCTTCCAAAATGGGAATTTCGGCTTTGGAAAAGGAAAAGCTTCTGTTTTCTTTCTCCGTCTTCTTTTTCTTTTGCTATTTCATTGAGAAAGTTGTGAATAGTTGCAGGGGTAAGCCGTACTGTTTGCAAGGGAAACGATGCCGTTTTCTCGTATTTGCTTGGGAAAGTTTTTCTAGGCCACAAATTTTCGTCTTCTTTCGGTGTTTAAAAGAATTAAATCCTTGAATAGGGTACTGTTAGTTTCTGATAAATAATAATGTTAAATATACCCCATATAAACGGTGTTTTTCTTTTTATTTTTACTGGATTACATTTAAAAATAATTTAGACGCAAATTTTGTCGATTGATTTGTTTGGTTTGCTTAATTAGGTGGGTAACTGTAGACGAGCAGAGATGAAGATATTTGATTCGGGTATTGGATACATGTGGTCTGGATTGAAGATTTCTTGGCTTCGTGTGAAACGCTTTTGAGTGTTCTTTGACCTTTATTGGTGGGTCTAAATCTATTTTTCTGTTACTGAAGTTGAACAGGTAAAGTTGGAACTTCCATTCTTGCTCCCGAAGTAATTGATGGTAGAGAGAGAGAGAGAGATGAGGAGAGTGAATGAATGCCTTTTTATTCTATGTTATTTAGGAGGTCTAATGTTTGGTTGGTGGGTGGGTGATAGGCAACTGTAACTTTTTCTAGAAATTGTGCAGCAAGGGGACGTTGGGTCAGGGGTAAGAAGCATACTTACATCAAAATTGTTGCAGGAGGTTGGGGAACACTTGATATTTGTGCTTGAAATGTTAATATGTTAGTTTGGTGAGACCCAAGTGTGATTGTAGCTTTCTATGTACTAGTGATGTCACTTCTGCCTGGCAAGTCTTAAAGACAGAACTATCTGAGATTGTTGGGCTTTGTGGATTGAGCATCTTGGATTTTAATATCATGTTGTCTTGGAAGCGATCTTTTGATCTTTGCACATTCAACTGTGGAATTGGGCAACTGGGACTTTGGTGAATTGGAAAGGCATTTTGATCCTTCGCTTTTGGTAGGAATTACAGCGACTTCCTATCTGCAAAAAAATCAATCTTCTGAAATAGAGTTGCCCAGCATTTTATGGGGTGAGTGTTATCTTTAAGGTAAGGTTTGTCCTCATGAATCAGAGCTTAATTTGATCATTTGCCTACTGCCCTTGATATTGATTTTTCTAGAATTTCATTCTATGTGATGCCTTTTAGTCTATCAAATTTAAGATCTTTTTCTGTGAATTTACATGCTCTGATTTCATTCCTTTTGGACCTTCTTTAAGTCGCCTTTTTGTCGATGAACGCAAGATCTGATACCCAGTGCTTGTGCATTCCATGTAGAAGAAGATTGGTGAATTCGTTTCATGAATTCATTCTCAGTGATGGAGTGGAATGCAAAGTGGGACTGGGAAACCCTAGTCATGTTCAGTTCAAAAGGCACTGAAAGTCCGACAAAGCTACAATTAACAGACTGGGGAAGTATAGGAGATGGAGAAATTGATGCTGGATCTTTTCATTTGTCTGGAGGCAGTGGTGGCTGTGGCTCTAATGGGGGAAATGGTCCTTCAGTAAAGAGCTCAATGTCAGCCTCAACCAATTCTTCATCAAAGGATGAGATGAAAACATCACATTTCACTTTTGAGGCAGTTGAAGATTTTCCTAGAGATTTTAGCAAGAAGGAAGAATTAGCTGGTGCTGACTTATCTGGAACTTCTCCCCCGCTGGAAACCTCAGTTGGGTCTGGTGAATCATTGATTGGTCTGAAACTTGGTAAGAGGACATATTTTGAAAACAATTGTCCTGGGAACAACAATAAGACCACATCTCTTTCTGCTATTCCTGTAGCATCTGCAATGACAGCAAAAAAAATCAAATCATCTTGTCGTAGTGCACCTACACCACGCTGTCAAGTTGAAGGCTGCAACCTAGATCTCTCATCATCTAAAGATTATCATCGAAAGCATAGAGTTTGTGAAAGTCATTCTAAAAGTCCACAGGTTGCTGTTGGAGGTCTAGAACGTCGGTTTTGCCAACAGTGTAGCAGGTAAGATTCTATTAGGAATTACAGTCATATGCCGGAAAGGAAACATTGAAAATTGAGGTGCATACATGATCTGGTTGGTCTTGTTGCTTTCCTGGTTGCCTATATCTTTTAGACAGTGATAGTTTTTTGCACAATTTGTCTCGAGTCTTCCTTCTAGTTTTTAGCGAATGATACAATAGTTGCCTTTTATTTTGACATTGAAGGTTCCATAGCTTGTCAGAATTTGATGACAAGAAGCGAAGCTGTCGCAGGCGGCTATCTGATCACAATGCACGGCGACGAAAGCCACAGCAGGAAGCATTCCATTTTAATTCAACAGGGCCATCATTTTATGGTATTATATCAATACAACCTTTGAACTAATTTTTCCTGTTGGCGTAGACTAGCTGGATTCTCTGGTCATTTGTTTTTGTAGGTAATTTATTTATTTATTTAATTATTCAATCTTAAGCTTTGCCCGATAGTCTAGGAGATGAAGCATAGTTATGTTATTGACTTGATTAAATGATTTCATTGGAAAGATCACAATATGTTACCTCAGTTTTAAGTCTTATTGATAAACTCCTCTGCTACCCCTATTTTGGGTGTAATTCCCACGCCTTCCTCCCAATAGTTTTATTTTTTCCGTTTAGAAGTCTAACCAGCATTTTACTGAAGGCAAATTTATGTGCTGCAAAATTAATTCATACATCAGGAAAAAATGCACACCACGTTCCCGTCAGTGATTTATCCATATGTTCGTATATGGAAGTTGCAAGACATACCAATCAACCTGATAGCTGGTGGTTTAGCAGTGTAACCCCCATTTATGAAGTCTATGAAAGCTCTCTGTCATACTTTATGAGACATACCATTTTAACCATATAAGTTCGCTACTACTCTTTTTTGACAATCCAAACAAAAACAAGACACATGATTTTCAACACATTTTGCAAGTCTGAGAACCATATCGGAGTCATGCCGCATGCAAGTAAATTTGGTTATTCAATAAACCCATTCATGTAGTTTAGCTAATATTCTTACAGATGGCCGGCAACAAAATTTTGTGTTGAACAATGCCCCTCGTCTTCATAGTAGACCTGCTACAGATTCAACTTCGAAAAACACACCTAGCTCCAAGTTCACACTAACAAACGGGTATGCATTGAAGCCTGAAAAAGCGGGAAACACTGATGGTCAGCCACATTCACTAGGGTTACATCTGCCGCATACCATCTGCATGCCCAGTCATGATTCTGGTACGCTCATTTCATTCCAGGGAACCACAGCTGACGTTAATAGTCAAGGTTTGTCTAGCTTTTTCTTCATTCAAGGTTTGTCTGTACTTGTAGTAAAAAAAATAATGGTACATTATTTTTTCCTGCGATGGATGATGTTTGCTTTGCCTGTTTCCACTTATTATCCTACATGATACTACACCAGCTATACAATTAAGTGATACTTGGATAAAGTGATTATTGGATGACATTTTTTTGCAGGTTCCAGTGAATCCAGGTTTCCTTGCACCTTAGATCCAGCATCGAATATTCATCGTGCTCTCTCTCTTCTGTCAAATACTTCCTGGGGTTCATGTGAGCCGAAGTCACTTGATCACCCCATGCATGTGACTCATACCAGCATTCCTCAGCATGTGATGCATACAGTGCCCCAAGGTTTGCCGCTTGCTTCATCTGAATACTGGCGGGCTGAACTGCAGTCAACTGATGTCCACGCACATACTATGGGTGCAAACAGTTATACCAGCAGCCACTTGCAAGAAACTGAGCTTTTCAAAACACCATTTGAGGCGGGCTTTTTTTCCAATCCGTTGAACTAGCAACTGAACATATCCTCAGATGTCAAGGTCAGTAAAGTTTTGCCTTGCAATTAATTTCTTGGTGGATATGAAAGTGATAAGACTGATTGTTAAACACCTTGAGCTCTTAATTGTTCGTAGTATAAGGAGTAATGTGGTTGTTAATCCCAAGGACTCGCTGCCACTCTGATTACAAAAGCGCTTACAGTTAGAAAAATCATGGGACATGCTTATTATCATTTGCATACAGTTTAGACTTTAGTGAAAGTGGTTGGCATTTTCAGACTCCAGAATTTGACAAGGTCGACATATTTTGATTCCCGTGCTCTAGCCTACTATCAGGTTTATTTTGCTAAAGAAATGCTACTTTCTCTTACATGGTGTTACTCTCAAACTTCATCATTATTATCATTTCAAATTTGTTTGCAACATATGCATATGCTAATAGCGAGCAAACTTCATGTTATTTTAGAATCTTAGTATCTCATTCCCTTGATGCTCAGTTTAGAGTATTTTGTATCTATTTCTTGTTGACTTAGCTATTAGATGGTTAATGTTTGTCCATATGCAGTGTGGATACCTTATTTGGGTATAGAATCCTTGAGTGGTGTCCTCACCAAACCATACCAGAATTGGAAACTGTTGATGACTGAATACCCTTAGAAGTGCATCCTCTGTTCTGAAGGCTCAAGTTGTTAAAGTGGAGGAAACTCAGTAAATTAGCATTGTCCAACATTGAATTGTTTTGGTTGTTGCTACGATTTTCTCTCTTAATATCCTGATTAGAACCTTGGTTTCTTGTGATTCTGCAATGAATTTCTTCATGATAGTTGCTTTTTGAGCGTCTACTTCGTGAATGAGTGATCATTGCGGATAGGTTTACATTGACATTAAAGCATCTGCCTCGTATATCATTTTATGTAAAGACTTATTAAATTGTGATTGTAGTATGAGTACTAGAAAGTGTAGTTATTTGCGTGGAAGCTGACATGAGAGATCCCATGTATATCAGCAAGTTGTCAGATTGCTCATTTGGGGGGTGTTGGGATCATGTTTGGTTTTATTTGATTTGTTTTAATATTTTAGGTTTTCTGAGAGGGTGGAGGTTCCTACTGGGAGGTAGGGTGGTTTGACCTGAGGCATGTTTGGGACAGTTCATATCTCTCTCTACCTGTGTTGTAAAACATCTCAAGAAGGGGTTCTAATACGTTTTTAAGTCTTTTTGCACGAGGGCAAATAAATAATTCACTTGTTTTCCGTTACCAACATTGGGATGATAAAATTTGATTAAGGATGTCAATGTAATTTCAGTAATGAAGAGAATACCCCTGAAAATTATTAGAAACCATAGAATGCCAGCAAAATTTATCCCATGAAAAAAGTTGCAACCCCCTTCTCCACCCCCGGGGAAAAAAGTGGGCTCTCTCTTGGGCCATCAAACGACCTTGGATGGCTGTTATTCGCTCCATGCCAACCAGCCAACAACTTGCCTAACCTTTATTTGACAAGCATGTTTTATGAGAAAAGTATTCCCTTATTCCAACCCACATGGAAACAATGTTAAAAGTGTCAATGCTAGCTAAGCTAAACCCAAATGAACACCAATTGGGATGAGGATGCAGAAACCGATGGCCAGAAAATAAGGTCACCAAACTATGAAGTTTCCAACCTCAAACCTAGTTGCAGATTTTAACTGATAAGAACAAAGATATTATTATGGGTACATTATAGTCACAGCCCCTAAATTATGTCATTTAATGCACAGACCCCTTCATGTCTGAAATATTATTTTTGGACCATTTAAAGTTTGTACGCCCGTAAACACATAAACCATCTGTTAGTACAACCGATTAAATTTAATGATATATAATAATATGTAGATAAAATTCCCAAATTACCCTTTTTTGTCCTAAGCCCAAACAAAATCCTCAAATCAGACCGCCTAGACACAAGCCTCTTCTTCCCAGCCGCAAACCCACCGTTCCCAACACCAGCTGCAAAGCCACAACCACTGTGAACCCCAAAAATTGTTACCGACGTCCACCACCGCCACCAGTAACCTCTGCAAACCCAACATGCCCAGCACCAGCCACACTACCTCAACAACCTCCAGTCCCCAAAGGTCACAACCCACTGCCACCACCATCCATAACCAACAATTACAAACCTAGCATGCCCAATACTAGAGAGAGACTGGCAATGCCACACCACCAAACCCCCAAAAAACAATCCACTCCACCACCCAAAACCACCTAATGCAAACCCAAAATGCTCAACATCCCCAACCCATCAATTGGCCAATCTTTGGGGCTTTTTCGGACCTCAACTGCTTGGTTCTTTTGGGCTCCATCGATGGCATGCGATTCTATGTCCTATTGAGATTCTCTCTCAACTAAGTTCTTGTGGTGGGTAGGTGGTGACTTGCTGTTGTGCCAGTGGTGATGCACCAAGAATGGAACCTAGGGGGAGGATGGCAGAGACAGGCAAGATGTAGATTATATTTGGCAGTGATATTTCATGGGTTTGGGTTTGGGTTTGAGTTTGGCGTTGTTTTCGGGTATGGGTTTGGATGAGATGAATTTATGTTTTTGTTAAGAGAGCCGAACAAAGGGTAATTGCAAAACTTCTGACAAACCATTAACAATTAAGTAATCTGTTTAACCATAATAGCTCTAACAGAAGCTAATTACCCTAAAAAATGAAACTACACAATCATAGTTCAAACAATTTACCCACTAAAGGCTGAAGATCTGGAAACAAGTCTTTATGTCATCATATAAAGACCACTAACCATGTAAATGATCATAAAAAACTAGCCACCATTTTGTGATCATACTTCCAAGGGTAACCCTGTTACAGAAAGCTAGCTAATAGAGATAAGGTGACCTTTGTGAACATCTTACATGTGACAGAAGAAGCAACTTCTCCCGCAAACAATTCCAGAAACCTAATGAAGATCATAGACATAAACTTCTAACAGAAGCATCTGCAGAGGAGAGATGCTTTAACGGCATAGAGACCAGTCAAATTGCATTCAAAACCAGAACAATGCAGGCCATGTTAAGACTTTATGCTGCTAGTATCATGTAGCTCAAATGCATGTTAATATACCACTCAAATAGATGAGATACCAGGTGTACAAATCCTATCGATGAGTAACCAGAACCAACCTGAAATCCTGCCAGAACAAGCTGGCTGACACGTGATACAACTTAATATAGGATCCATAAAGACCACAAATATCATCTAGTTAATACACCACCGTGACACAGATCAGGAGTGGAGAAACTCAATGACAGCGGCAACAAAGATGACATGACTGACTTTCAGACACCCAAACTGAGCAATGCTGGACGACGACCCTGGACCTTCTCAACTCTCAAACACGTCCTAGTACTCACTGGAACAGTAGACAGGTTCAAATCAATAAGTGCACAGGTAGGAGCAACATATAATGCAAAATGGAAAGATCTATCTTAAAGAGTGAGAAAACAAAAAAGATGAAAAGAAAACAAAAGAAACCATATTTGCGATAGATATTAATTACATATGAATTGTCAACTTGAATTGGGTTTGAGTTATGTACAAAGAGAGTTGAAGAGCATAACAACAATTTCAAGCAACAAATGAGCATACAGAGTAATTGTATTATACAACAGACCTGATCATTCTCATTATCTGATTCTGAAGGGGACTCATTTGGCTCAGATGGTTTTTCAGCCCCACAATTCTGTCTGTTGCACTTGGTCCTGAAAGGATAGTTTATGTTGTTACACTTCTCACACTTCCAGCTCCCATCAGGCATCTCTGGTTCTGGAAGAGAGTAGTAGGTAGGTGAAAGACTGTAAGTACCTGACACAAATGAAAGCTAACCGCATTCCTAAAATATATAAAAGGACTTACTAGAATTCTTCCCCGATTTTCCAGCCTGCATAATAGAGCAAAAGCATCAATTATAATTCAAAGCTTTAAAATATATTTTAAACATTATACGCTTTAGAATCTAAGTTCACAATCCAATGTTACAACATACCACCAAAAACACCAGATGTATATGTAGAAAAGAAGAGGTAATGATGTCATCTGTTTATATGGACAGTAAATAGATTAGTCTGTACTAAAAAAGAAGTGACTCAAACCTGCGATCCAGGCTTTGGTGTGTTGCATTTCCTCATGTTACAAACGGTTCTAAATGAAAAATTGACATTTCCACATTTTGGACATGTCCAATCATTCTCACGTGTGCCATCTAGATGCGTATAGAAAAGGAGCAAAAAGAAATTAGAACATGAAAAAGTAGCGACGAACTGCCAATCATGCTTTGAAATTCAAACTTGACTAGTTATCACAAAACTGCACCTTTCTTTTGAGATTTATCATCCGGAAAAAATCCTGGCCTTGGCACCTGCACAGAGATTTCAATATCTCAGGAGATCAGTACTTGTTTACAAATACTTGTCAAACTTTGACATGATTGTGACAGGTAGCATTTATTAAAAAAAATACACGAGAATGTACTATATACAAGTATTACTTGGCCATTGCACCATTACAGAGGTCATCAATAGAACAACATAAACAACAAATTCATACTCACAATGGCAGCATGTCCCATGGGGAAACCCAAGCCATATCGGTCCATCAAGGGGGCCACACCATACATCCCAGCTGCAAAAAGAAAATGAACTTCATGAATGCAATCCAAGAATGAGCAATACTCAACATCTCAGGATATGAATGTGAAGTTATAAAGAGCATGTTGCAAAAAAGTAGCAATGTAAAGAATAACGTTCCTGATTATCGTGATTGTCAATGGAAACCATTTATTGTATAAACATCCTCATTTCTTTCTCAAAATGAAAGAGACAATTCATGGCAATGTATTTCCACAGTAAGGATGCCATGACAAGCGGCCTCTGGTTCAAGGGTTAAAATAAGTCCAACAAATCATAAGGTTGTGAGGTAGAATATGACAAAAAAAACTTTCTATAAATAATGTCAAATGTTAACTCTACCCAGTTCACCCGCCAACACCCCCAACTAATGGGGACTAGTTAGCAAAAACAACTTTAAAATGATACCATGATATATATAACAGATAAAAGGTAATATTGAACTGACACAAGCAGACCAATTGTGTTAGTTACAGAGTTAAACATATAGACAATTGACTTTTCTTCTTCTCCTCTTATAAAGGAGAAGGAATAAAATAAGAGGAGCACAAGAAAGCCCACTAACCATTGCCCATCATAGCTCCACTAGAATAAGGAGTTGGACTAGATAGATGCAGAGGTCGATAGGGGCTGCCTCCAGAAAGGCGGCCGACATAGTTGTAATGGTATGCGGAACCGCCAGGAAATGGATCATAAGGAGGCATAGATGCTCCATTGAACAGGGAAGAACCATAAGGTGGAACACCCACATACATTGCCGAGGGTGCACCAGAGCCTACATAAGGAGCTGAGGATGAGTAGCCCTGTGGTCCTTGCATAGGCTTAGCAGCAGATTTCTGGAAAAGAAAAAAAAACATTTGGTATAAGAGATCAGTTACAGTTTTATATACTAGTGAAGAAACAAAACCAGAGCAAAAATCAAGTTACAATCCAAAAGATTACACCGACAAAATAAGAAAGAAAAGACTGAGGTGTCCCAGGCCAAAAAAACATACAGTAAAGCCTTGGACATATTACAACATATGAAAGGAGAAAAATAAAAATTCATTGTTCCATTACATCATGTTAGTGGAGTATTCCTAGCAGAAACTTGATGCAACAAACTCTAATAAGGCCATAAATTACAGAAACTAAGTGTTGAAGCCTCGAAGTGATGATAGAGCTATTTGTAGAATGTCATGGCCAGTAGAATCAGAGAAGCCAGTGACTAGGAGAAGGACATGGATAACACCAAGACAACCAGTGAAACAGGTATTTTGCAGGTCAAGTGGGAAAAAAATATATCCCATTAAAAACTACGGGTAAGAAAGAATAAATTTCACTCTTACTGAATTGTGATCAGCTGGCCTAGATTGAGTACAGTTGCGCATGTTGCAAGTAGTTCTAAATGAGAAATTGACATTGCCACAGCTAGGGCAAGTCCAGTCATCTTCCCTGCGGCCACCTACAAACATATAAAAAAAAACAATGAATCCAAGAAATGAAGAACATATGAAACTACCAACAACAAAGGTACCAAAATCCATAGAGGGTGCTTCAATTGCTGGAGCCAAATTTCAAAGGTGGCTGTGAGTTGCAAGCAATCTTTAAATAGTTGGGACGTGAGGTGTATGCACACAAACACATACGAAGAATAACTCATGAGTCAAAAAAAGTTTTGTTAGATGTTTGAAGTGAGTTTTTTGTTTACTTTCTTTGGGGTCATCTTCAAAGGGGACTTCCCACTCATAAATCATAATCACAAATGCCTAAATCCGAAAATCCAAAGAAAACCTTGAGCATGCAAAACAACTTCATGGTTCACTCCAGCTCCTTAGGATAAGGAGGACCAACCTGGGTAATGACATTTTTCACTTCTTAGTTAGTCAGAAAGTTATAACTTCAAATTAGGACATATATAGTCCAGAGGCATTGCAAATGACAAGCAAAATCTGATATTAGGAGAAAAGTGTGGTCCAAAGAAAACCAACCAAGGCTCATTATCAAATCAACAAAGCATTAAGTTGAGCAGTACAGTCCACCTTTCCGCAGCAGTAACTTTCAACCACGTCCATAAATTTACGTGAGCAAGGAAATAAAATTACTCATAACATATGACTTAAAGTGGCTTTAACTTGAAATACACTTAAAACATACATTTGCACATATTCACACAAACATGGATATTCATCCACACACAACCCCCAGTATGTTTGGAAATAAACAAAATAACTTTCGTTTTTTGCAATTGAGATTCCTTTAAATTTTATTTTAAAACTAATCCGACAGCTAATATTAGCACCCCAAATTTAATAGAGAAAATAGGCCTCTAAGAGTGTGTTTGAGGTGACTTTTAAAAGTATTTCTAGAACTTATAACTTCTCATGAGTATTTAAAAAAAAAAGAATTTGAAACCATCCCACCACCACCACCACCACCATTGTCTCACCACCATCGCTACCGCGCCGCCGTCGCCGCCACCCCACCACCCACAACAACACCACCACCACCACCAACCACCATCGCAAAACCACAACACTAAAACCACATACAACAAAAACCACCACTACCACTGTTGCCGCCACTGTCCCACCAACCTTACGACCATCACCACTATCGCCACACCACCACCACCACCACCACCAAAACCAACACTAACACCAACATTGTCCCCCCCCTCCCCCACCACCATGACCATTACAACCACCATCACCATCGCTGCCACCCCACCACCACATCTATAATAAAAACCATCACTACTACCATCGTTGCTGTCACTGTCCCATTACCGCCACTCCCACCGCCCAACCACCATAACCATCACCACTACTGCCGCCGCCACCCACTAGCATCGTCACACCCCCTCCATTACCCCACCACCACCACCCTTCACCAATTGTTACCACCATTGTCCACCGCTACCCCCCCACTAATATCGTCATCTCATCCTTATATTTATTACCACTTTTCACCATTATCCCACTACCGCTGTCATCCACCAAGGCCACCACCACACACCGCTACCCACCACCATAATCCACCATCACCCGTCATTGTCCACCATCACCGCCAACCGCTATCACCCACCCCCACCACACCTACCTCCACCACCACTGCCGCCATTCACCACCACCCATCACACTGTAGTCTAGAAACACCGGTCGTTATCCACCACTGTCACCCATAGCTATCACTATCATCATTGTCACTCAAAACCCACCACCACCGTCACTGTCACCGTACCACCATCACCACATTCGTCGCCACCCATCACAACCATCACCACCACCATTGCCACTCACTACTACTACCACCGCTCACTCTCCTAAAACCCCTAAAACCACTGCTTATATTATTTTCTCTCTTTTATGTTTGTTTTTAATTTGATTTTGAGTATCCATACAAATATGTTTATTGTAGACCATTTTTTTATCCCTCAATAACTAGTACATATATAAATTAAAAAACTGAGAAGAATGGCAATCAAGAAAGGTATACCATCAGTTCGGGCACGTTTGGCTGCCGAAGAATTTCTATTATCAACCTACACACAAAGAGAGGCATACCATCAGTTAGGGCATACTTGCCAATCGATCACGCTCAGAACATCTACAAAACAATAGTAAGAAACGAAAATACATTTTTAAAAAAAAAAAAAAAACTAACACTCTTCCGTTGTTTTCTTTCTAACACCCATCCGATTTGTATGAAGAGAGGTCGAAATTACAACGGATTAAAAGTGAGGGATTTAAATCGAAATATAGCAAGAACTTAAATTCGAAGGGTATAGAAGATAACCTGAGACATAGGGATGGCGGTTCACAAAACGGAGACGTCTTTGCGTGAGATAGTCTTGGGCGTACACTAGCAGACAAACGAGAGAGAGAGAGAGAGAGAGAGAGAGAGAGAGGGGTTTGGTGAAGAAATAAAGGCCTTTTTACATGCATATCTTAATGTCCAAGTTTGTAGACTAATAGAGCGGTTTAGGGCGGGTCACTCGGCAACTGTGGCCCAATGTCCATCACACTTCATTGTATGAATTATTGGGCCCAAGCCCAATATTTGCTGATCCAATAAAAGGCCATTCACTAAAAGTACAAAGTGAAAATTAGAAGTGAGTCCACGTAACTGTACTTGTTTGGAGATAAATCCTGCAAAAAAACTTATAAAGTGTTAAGTTCATATTTAAAATTATATGTAATGACTTAAGTCCATTTTTTTTATCTCAAAAATACCCTTCCTTAAAAGGAAGTTAATCTTTTTTCTCTCATATCTATCTATATCCATATATAGATTAAGAGTTTGATTAACATTAAATTTTTTCTCTTATATATATATATATATATATATATAATAACATTAAAAATAAAAAATAGTAACATTTAAATAAAAAAAATACTATGAATTTGAATAGTAAAATTCAAATTCATGTTAATATTTTTTTTTATTATATTACTGCTCATGTTACTTCTTTTGTTGAGTATGTTATTGTTTATGTTACTATTATTTTGAGCATGTTCCTGTTTTTGTTGAACATGTTATTACTATTATTTTCCTAAATATTAATATTCAATGTTACTATTTTTTTTAATATTACTATTTTTTGTATTTGAATTGTACTATTTTTTGCGTTTGAATTTGAGAGAAATAATTATTGTTAGCTATGTTAAAGTTTTCGTTAAGCATATTACTATTTTTGTTGAACATGTTAATATTTTTATTGAACATGTTACTGTTGTTATTTTTTAAAAATATTAATATTGAATGTTTCAATTTTTTTTTTCTGTTTAAATGTTACTATTTTTTTTGGTGTTTAAATGTATTATTTTTTGTGTCCAAATGATAAATTTTTTTTTGGTATTTAAATGTTATTATTTTTTATTTTTAATGTTACTATATATATACCTAACCTATATATGGATATAGATAGTTAAGAGAGAGAGAGAGAGAATTTTTTTTTTTTTAATATTAGTCAAACTCTTAGCCTATATGGGGATATAGATAGATATGAGAGAGAGAAGATTTTAATGTTAGTCAAACTCCTAAAATTTATGAGTTTTTAATTTTTAGTTTTATTTTACTTCTAAAGGGAAAAGATAGTATGGTAAAATTGAGAAAAAATGGACTTCATAACAAATAAGTTTCCTTTATGGACTTAAGTCCAAACAATTTCATATAAGGGGACCGACCTCCAAATTTTTCAAGTAAAAACTGGTTTGGAAACCAACCGATTTTTTTTGTAATAGTAGAACACGAAGCGTCAATTTAGAAGGAGGAAATTAGTGCACAATCTTCTACTTTCAAAGTGGGTTTTGAATTTGAAAATTAACATCCATTATTTCACTATAACTAAAATTTGGGGTTTACCTTCCTTTCAAGAAAAACAAATTACAAAATCGCTCCACTGTAGCAAAACAAAGGGTTTTGGAGGAGGAAAACTGAAACAGGAGTTTTGGGATTTTTAGCAAAACTGTCGTCGGAATTGTTTGAAACGTCTTCCCTCCTGTCGAAATCGCTTAACAGTACAATTTTTTTTTGTTCAATTTTTTCTCTTGATAAAATATAGACGAAAAAAAATTAAAAAATCCATGTTTTGTAACAGGAAAATAAAAAACCTCAAAAATTTTATGATGAATGCATGTAAGTAATATTGAAATTCCTAAAAAAATAAATAATAAACAATTACACTAATTGTTGGTTTATTATAACAATTTGAAGTGACTCTATTAAGATTAACTACTTTTAAGTCATATATTTGTTTTGAACTTCTGATTCTTACAAGTAGAATTCTAATACAAAACGTCATCCCAACATACATTGATTCATTGGTGTAACTGTATGATGTACCTCTTTGGTATGATTTCTTGGTTCACTCAATTTGGTGTAACCATGTTGTAATATTAAATAGTGTAACTCTTTGGTTTATGTAAACAACTGAGTGACAAATTGCGTTGATGACGTAATTTTGCGTAATTGTTTGGTGTAACTATTTAGTTTATCAGAATATGAGGAACTATTGAGTGTAGCTTTGGGTAAATAAGTACATTCCGGGTCCTTGATAAAAAACACTTGTTGTCTGTGGTAAGACCACTTTATAGGATAAGTGTAACTGATTGTTGTTATGTTGATATCAAATTATGTCTTAGTAACTATTTAGTTTAATTATTTGTTGTATCAATTGTGACATTAACATGACATTCTGCAAGACTTACAGTACACAAAAGAGTTTACTATTACAACTCTTCTTTTTTCTCCCCAATTGTTAAAAAAAAAAAAAAGAACATCTTTATGTTTCTGTTTTGTTGCAATATTTCCACAACCATTGTGTTTCACTATGAAAAAAGTTAACACCATATGATGTGGTTCCACAAATTATAAACTCCACAGTAACATGTCCACATAAAATGACTAAAAATAATGCAACAATGACAAAAAAATAACTTGATATTAATAAAAAAAAGGGTAATAAAAATTTTTTACTTCAAAATAGTAATCCAATCATATAGGCTCATTACAAGTTTTCTTGTTATGGCTCCCTAACCGTCCGTATTGAATTAGCCTAATAAGTTCCCCCTTGACCTTATTCTACATTTTTTTGGTTGGCTACTTCTTAATTGATAGCGACAAAATCTCAGCTTCCACCAGAAAGTTTGGACGACCCAATTTAGTGTATAATTAGTGTAAGCATGTTGTGATACTAAATGATGTAATTCTTTGGTTTATATAACAACTAAATGACAAATTGGGTCAGTGTCGTAATTTTGTGTAATTATTGGTGTAATTGTTTAATTTATCATAACACACGAGTAACTGTTTGGTATATTATATAACAATTATAACTGATTGGTGTAACTAAATGGTGTAATTGTTTGTTGTAATGTTGATATAACATTAATTTTATTAGGTGAATCTATTTTCTATATCTCTTTGTAATCACTGTGTGTGGTGAATAATCGGTGCAACTTGTAGCTATTAGGTGTATCTATTTGGATAAAGTGACGTTTGAAACTGAATTAAAAAACTACATTTGGAGTCGTATCGTAATACCTTCAACTAGTTTAGAACCGAATTAGAAAGTTAATGATTGGAGAACATAGAAAAATAACAATGTTTGAAGGCAAAAATTGAAGAATATAAAGTGAATTGATTTAAGAATAAATTTTTAAAATTCAAACAAATGAAAAAAATTAATCAAATGTTTACATATTTTTAAAAAAATATCAATAGGGGAGAGAGAGAGAGAGAATAAGGAGAGAGAGTAACGGTGAGATAGGGAAAGATATGAAAAAATTAAATTAAATCTTTACATATTTGAAAATAAAATAAATTATCAATTGAAGAGAGAGAGTGTGAGAGAAAATAGGTGATAGAGAATGAGAGAGGCAAGAGAGAGAGAGAGAGAAAGAGAAAGAGTAACGATATGAGAAAATAAGGGAGAGAGTAGAAAAATAAGAATTATGCATAATTTAAGAAAACATAAATAATTAATATAAATAAAAGGTAAAACTACTATTTATAAGTAGGCTTCTCCCCCGTATACAATGAATAATTTATCATTGAGTAAGATTGAGTAAAAATATAATAGAAAGATTTTGGATTTCTACCACATCGACATTAAGCCAAATTAAACCTCGATTCTTGATGCTATTCTTTATCCATTGCATGGTTCACCTCAACTTTTCAATGGCGTAGTTATTTACTACCACCATTTCAGTTTTATAGCAAAATTCTATACGCATTTTAAGACTACATTGTGCATGCCTTTAAAAGGTAATCACATCACAATGGTACTCGGGTATAATGCTCTTGAGGTTAGCGATTGGTCTATGGTCACCAGTTCCGCTATTAGACCTTAAGATCGTAAGTTCAAATCTCGACATCCCTGATACGTCTTTTTTAGACATTGGATTTATTTATATTGTGCATAACTTTCTCTCTCGAATTTTACATGAGATTGGAATTAAATCACCGCAAAGAGCCCCCCCTTTTTTTTCCTTCTACGGTGTCTAAGTTTTTACTAACTATATTGACCACCATAACTCGAACGGGTTTAGAATATATACCTGATAAATAAGGATAACTAACCCTTAAGGGGTATGAAGTAAAATTTTAAACACAATTTCCCTCTTTGTCGAATAATAAGCATTTCACTTGGGGTATTGTTCTCTGTCAGCAAGTTGCTTCCTAGCTAAGAAAGTGTTTTTTGGTTTTTTGGTGATGGAGGGACTTCAACCCTCACCATAGGACTATAGGGGAGCTTGTGCACCAAATTAAAAGTTACTAGGTTATTAGTAAAAGAGCAATACTAAACATGGGTGATCCATGATACCGCAAAAAAAAAACTAAATTTAGATTAAATTGCAGTGATATCCCTCAAGGTCTTATTGAAATACACTCTATCCCTTGCAATTTTAGAAGTTACACTGTCCATTTAGGATTAAAGTGAGCTTAGAGTCAATTCTGATGATGCACAAATCGGCTTTGCACACCACTTGTCAAGTAATCAGTAGTAAATGCAATAATTAAAGTAAAAAGAGAAGACAAGGATTATAGTGGTTCGATCAATGTGACCTATGTCCACTTTTAAAAGGCTAGGGTTGCCGGATATTTTATTACTTCAAGGGTGTAGGGAGAGCAAAGAGTTACAATCTTAGAAAGGGAGAGGAGAGTTGTGCTCAATTGAGTGTGATGCCCCCCAAGTGTTGGTGAGGCTTATAATTTATAGTCGCCCCCTAACATATTGAGTTGACTTAATAGTAACTGAATAACTATTTTGGTGGAGCTGGAGATTTCTCTTCACGGGCGAGGCAGTTGCGATGCTCTCCATGAGATTCGGTTAGAGGATGAGGTGAGAGTTGACTCTTTCCAAAGTGGCGAGAATGAGACTCATGGATGACCTTCAACAAACTGATGATATAGCTCCCTGATGAGCTTGACTGGACTTGGACCACATTGGGCTTGCTGGGTCTTTATAAGCTTAGGCTCTAAGTTAAGATATGGACATTCCACATGCACTGAGCCATTTGGGCCTGACCTATCATTTGCCCCCCAATGCTCCGTGTCTAAGGAAACTTGGAGAAGGGGGCATTTGTTTGAATCTTAAGCTCCGGGTGGTGGAGACTCCTTCTAATAAATGACTTTTTCCCTCCATGATATATCTCATCTTCCAGGATACCTCAAGTCTTTTCCTATTTTTATTTGAATTTTTAAGAGATCCCTTGATTTTCAATTTGGGCTTTTCCCTTTTTGAGAACCCTAGGCTATAAATATAAGCTTCCTTCCTTATTCTACCAATTTCCTTCAACCCATTCAAGAGTGCTCCTTCTTGAAATCTTTGGAGATTCAAGGTTGAGCATTTGAGAAGCCATGTCAACTGGAGAAAAGTTTGTAGATCTTAGTGGAGAGCCCAGAGAATTTGGTGTTGTCCCCGGAGTGGAGGAGGAAGCATTAGGTGCCAGCATGGAGGTGCCTCGAGCATCCATTGCTGCCGTTGTTCACGCACCCAATGGGTTGTCCGAGCTGGGGGAGCCGATAGCAGGCGAACCTGCTGTTCCTGTTGGGGGTGCAAGATCCCAAGCAGTGGAGGAAACGCCATTGGGCGCCCACGCTATGCGTGGGGCAGCTGGGTGCAATGATGGGTGTGTAAGGCCAGCAGGTGCAGTTGAGGAGCGCAGAGGGGGTGGACAGCTGGGGCGTGTAGCAGTTGTGGAGGCGCCATTCATTCAGGCACTGGGCGCCGAGGCCACTATGGCCGCGCTAAGATGTCTTCTATGGGTGCTAAGGAAATATTCTAGGTGAGCAAGGCGGCGACCCAGGTGAGGCAAACAACCCAGCTGCTGGACAAGCCTATTTTTGAAGTGTTGGGGTTGCCTGTTCACGGGAAGAGATGCTGGCCGCTCGAAAGGAGGCGCTAGATGCCGATATGGGTGGCCATAAGCTGGGCAGTGCTGATCTGATCCATCAGGTGCCAAAGGGCGCTAATCCAAGCAAGCAAGGAGAAGGAAAAAGGGCTGGTCTTGGTGTGCAGGCACTAAGAAGCGCCATTTTGGGCGAACAGAGAGGGTCAGGCGCCCATCCAAGCGTTGGTCTGCCCTGCTTAGGCGTGTAGAGGGGGTCAGACGCCCACCCAGGCGATGGTCTGCCCCGCTTGGGCGAGCAGAAGGGGTCAGGCGCCCTTTGGGTGCTGGTTTGAGTAGTGTAGGCGACAAGAGAGTTTGGGGTGCCACTTTGGGTGATGATTTGAGGAGTTCAGGTGACCAGGAGGTAAGGCATACTGACTTGGGCCCCGATGGGCGTGGATCCCCTGTGGCAGTTTATTTGGCTCCTTCAGGTAAAACTCCTCAAAGTAAGATTTCTGGTAACTCATGCAACTCTTCACTCCCTCGCAGCAAAAACACAAAAGCAAAGTAGTTCTTGACGATGATGGGTCGAAAGTAGTTACCCTTTCTAGTTTGTTCAATACTGATGATGATATTTTAAGGATTGTTTCTGTTTATCATATTCCTCCAACTGTGTTGTGCCACTGGGCTGAGATGGGTGCGCTTGTTTGCGATTTCTCCTCTGGTGACATTGTCATCTATGATGAGATGTTTGAGGTTGAGCTCAGGTTCCCCATGTCTTCTTCGATTTGTTACATTTTACATTATTTTTCATTGGCCCCAGGGCAGTTGGCGCCTAATGGTTGGAGATTCCTGCTGGGCTTTCTTGATTGTGGAGGAAGGTGCATCATGAAGATGCTTCTCCTACGGAGTTCCATGCAACCTATAACTTGAGCGAGACTCCTGCCCTTAACAAGGGGTGGTACTATTTTACCATGAGGGGTGGTAAGTTACTTACGGGATTATACTCCAACTGTCATAGTTAGAAATATCGCTTCTTATTCGTCGGCGATGAGTGGGTCTCAGAGGCTGATAGGGCTTTGGTACCAACACGATGGGGTGTTCCCAAAAAATCCAATATGCCCTACACTTGTTCTTTTCTCTTTTTTTTTTGTTTGTACCTATCATCCCCTTGCAGATCCCCCTGTGCTCTCAAAGGACCAAGAGTGGAAGTTATAGGCCATGTGGGCTCATCCTGGCAAAGACTTGGGAGTTCTTTTACCCAAAGAGGGTGGTAGGGCTGGTGGACCCTCTCTAGGATCCTCTTTGAAAAGAAAGAGTATATTTCTCTTGTCCTTTTCCCCCTTTACTTGATATTTTTCATCTAGATAACACTTTATTTCTTTTGTAGAAATAGATAGAAAAGGTGATTGGGTCCCACTTCTTTGGTAGGAGCCCTCTTCCTTCCAAGGTAGCGAGGACGGGCGAAGCCTTTCAGGTGACCTCTCCAATGACGCCACCTGAGGTGTGCTCTCCTCAAGTGGTACCTCGGGCGCGCTCCCATTAAGTGACCCCTCTAGTGGTGCCTCCTCAATTGAAGACTCCTTCAATTGAATATCCTACTCTAGAGTTCCCCTCACTGGCCACACCTTTTGCCCCCCCATTCATCCATTCCTCCCATGGGAACTTCCAGAAGGGCACTGATTCAGATCAGCTCCATGCTGGGTAACGCGCCAGTTATAAAGGATCGATTTGGGAGGTTTGTGTTTTCCAACGATGTTTGCAAGATTAGTGCTCTGGGCACCGAGATAATCGTCAGCTCTTTTTTGGAAGGCTTGGCTCAGGTAAGGGTTGATGTCTCCTTTTCTCTAATCCCTTATTAAGCTTTTGACATTTCTTTGACTTTTATCTTTCTTCAGGCTTCTATTGCATCTATGTGTTTACTTTCAAGGGCCTATTCTCACGGCAAGCAGAAGTAGGATCATGATATTGTGTGAAAGGAGCTCCTTGCTGCTCAGGGGAGGATTCCTGAGGACTTTTGAGGTTGATCTTGTAGCAACCCGTGAGAGGGTAACTAGGCTTGAGACTGAGCTTTCGACGACCCATGGGAGGGCGGCCAAGCTCGAGGCAAAGTTTGTGGAGGCCTGTGAGAGGGAAACTAAGTTTGAGTTTGAGCTTTTGGCGATCCATGAGAGGGACGCGCTCAAGGAGTCTGAGCTTGTGGAGGCCCGTGAGAGGGCCATGCTCAGTGAGGTTGAGCTTTTAGAGACCCACGAGAGGGCCATGCTCAGAGAGACTACCGCAGAGGCAGAGGTGAAGGCTGCTCAAAAGTGCTTCTCGGGCTGAGGTGGACCTGGAAAATAGCCTCACAGATGCTTTCGTTGACGGTTATGAGGAGCTCTAGGGAAAGATTTCTACTTCTTTTCCTGATATTGACCTTTCAAGCTTCATGGCAACTGAGGCGCCTGATGATGGAGATGGAGTATCTGATGATGCTGAGGATGATGAGAAGAAGAAGGATGATGACCATGAGAGTAGTTAGGGTGTTGGGGACTTTTGATGATTTTTTTTTTTTAGTAAAGTTAGTATGTAGCTTCACTTTTGTAAAAGTCGTTTTTTGCCACTGAGGCTCCTTTGAAATTGAATACAAAAATCCAAATATCTTTTTGGAGTAAATCTAAAAAAATTTATTTATTCATTGCTCATGTCAAGTAATATTGGGTAATAGTCCCCCAAAAGTACAAAAAATAAAGCCAAGTTCCCAACTTTTCTACTCCCTTAAGGCGTCAGTGATAGTACCTTTTCAGGTGCTCAGCATTCCATGGATGGGGTAAGACCTTCCCCTCAGAATTTTGGATCTTGTAGGTGTCTGGCCTCACCACTTCTGTTATGAGGTAGGGTCTTTGTCAATTTGGCTTCAGCTTTCTTTCGTGTGAATCCTTTGTGGCGAGGATAACTTTCTTGAGCACCAAGTCTCTTGGTTGGAAGAAACAAGGTTTCACTCTTGAGTTGTAGTATTTCACCATGCTGCGCTTGTACTCTGCGTTGCGTACCATTGCCAACTCCCTTGCCTCTTCTACCAAGTCGAGGTTGATGCGGAGTCCTTCTTCGTTGGTGATGGGTTCGTGGTGTTGGATCCTAAGAGAATGCACCTCGATCTCCACTGGGATGACTACTTCATATCCAAAGATGAGGGAGAAGGGGGTTTCTCTAGTTGGAGTTCTCGGCATGGTTCGGTAGGCCTACAATACACTTGGGAGTTCGTCAACCCAAAGACCCTTTACTCTTTCAAGCCTTGTCTTTAGGTTGCATAACACGATTCTTACCATGATTTTTTCTTGTCTGTTTGCCTGCAGGTGCGCTGAGCTGGAATGAGGTTGCTTTATCTGAAGGTCGAAGCAGAAGAAGTTCAGGAGCTTGTTGTCAAACTATTTGGCATTGTTGTTGACAACAACGTAGGGTATTCCGAAGTGACAGACCAGGTTTTTCTAGATGAAATCTTTAACCTTTGTATCTATGATCTTTGCTAAGGGTTCGGCCTGCTCCATCTCCCTCACTGGTCGAGGATATATCCATATAGAGCTTCTAAAGTGGTAGAGAGGAGGGCTAAAAGATTGCCGTGGGAGCCTGGGGGTGCCTTGATGCCTGAGGTGGAGTTCTAGGCACCTGAGGTGGAGATCTAGGCGCTTGGGATGGAAGTCTGGGTGCCTGGGGTGGAGATCTGGGCGCTTGAGAGTGCTTGGGCGCCTGGGTGTTTGGACTGGGCACCTGGGTGTCTTTACCGGGCGTCAGATTATTTTGTGTACCAAAGTCTGATGTCTGAAGTGTGTGTGCTCATTGGTCTCCTCTGCTGGTGTAAGCTTAGCAATAAAATTTGTCAAGGCTTGTGCTTTGATGGCCGCCCTTGGCTGGTACTAGAAATCTAATTCGCTCAGCTCCACTGCCCACTTAAGGAGTCTTCCGGATACATCTGACTTTCCCAAGAATCTCTTTAGAGGCTAGTCTATAATCACAACGATGGTGTGGCTCTGAAAATAATGTCGTAGGTGCCTCGCTGTCGAGATGAGGGCAAACACTAGCTTCTCTAGCCCTGAATATCTGATTTATGCTCTTCGGTATGCTGTGTTCACATAGTAGATAGACTGTTGTACTCCATCGTCATTTTTGACGAGGACGGAGCTTACTACCGATGGAAAAGTGGAAAGGTATAGATACAAAGTGTCTCCTGGAATTGCATATGAAAGAAGGGGAGGCATAGCTAAGTAAGCTTTGAACCATTGGAAGGCTTCCTTTGCCTCAGGTCCCCACTCGAAGGCCTTTCAGAGAATCTTGAAGAAAGGCAGACATTTGTTTGCAGACTTGGAAATGAACCTGTTAAGTGTGCAATTCTCCCATTGAGGCATTGGAGCTCCTTGGTTGAGGATGGTGACTTTATATCGAGGATGACTTTGATCTTGTCAGGGTTCGCCTCAATTCCCTTCTGATTGACCATGAAGCCTAAGAACTTTCCTGACCCTATGTGAAAGGCGCACTTATCAGTGTTTTGCTTCATGTAATAGGACCTCAAAACATTGAAAGTTTCTTGGAGGTGGTTGATGTGATTTGCTACGGCGAGGCTCTTCACCAACATGTCATCCACGTAAACCTCCATTGTTCGCCTGATTTGAGACTGAAATATTTTATTCACCAGTCGTTGATAGGTTGCTCCTGCGTTCTTAAGTCTGAAGAGCATGACCCTGTAGTAGTAGGTCCTCTTCAGAGTGATAAATGATGTCTTCTTCTGGTCTGGGGGTTGCATGCTAATCTGGTTATACCCAGAGTACGCATCTAGGAAGGTGAGCAATTCATGTCCTGCTGTGGCGTCGATGAGGAGATTAATCTGTGGTAACGGGTAGCTATCTTTTGGGCACACCTTATTGAGCTCTATGAAGTCAACGCAGAGGCGCCACTTTCCATTGGTTTAGTCACCATCACCACATTGGAGAGTCACTTAGGATATGCTACCTCTCTGACCACCCCATTAAGCTAACAGCTTTCCTACCTCCTTGTCCATAGCTTAGGTCTTTTCAGTGAAGGCGCCCCTTAGCTTTTGACGAACAGGCTTGTAACGGGGGTCGACGTTGAGGCAGTGTGTGGCAACCTCAGGGTCAATGTGACCATGCAAAAATATCCATGTTGCACCTTAGAAAATCTATAAGCTGGCATACCAGATCTTTAGACAGGGAAGAGCCAATGTATACTTTTTTGTTTGTGTATTCTTCATCTAAGACCATTGGGGTGAGCTCTTTGATTGGTTCTCCTCTTTCTACAGTGACATCATCCTTTGGGTCGATGACTTCCACCTGTAAGGTTTCTTGTAACTTTCTGGTCTTCATAAGGAGACGTAGCATTCCCTTGCAACTATTTGATCTCCTCGGACCTCTCCGATTCCATTCAGGGTTAAAAGAAAGAGGATGAGATGGTAAGTGGAGGGCACTGCCTTTAGAGTGTTGAGAGCTGGGCGCCCCAGGATGATATTGTAGGCTGATGGGCAGTCTATCACGAGAAAATTGACCATAATTGTGGAGCTCCAGGTGCTGCTCTGGTAGTGACTGGTAGGGTGATGGACCCTGGGGATACACCTTCTCCCCTAAGAACTCAATGAGGGGTAATCTGATAGGCTGCAATCTCTCCCTGCCCAAGTTGAGCTTGTCATAAGCTTCTGCAAACAGGATATTCGTAGAACTGCTGCTATCCACGAGAATCCTTCACACTTGAAAGTTGGCGATGGTCATGGTGAGCACCAGAGAGTCATCATGGGGATGCTGGATTCTTTCCAAGTCCTTGTCTGTGAAGGATATGACCCTGCTGCTGCCATGCTTGGGTGCCTTAGATGGGCGCAATTCGTCGGGGTGTCTAATTCTCCTAGCATGGGCCTTCATGGCAGAGAGTGATTCCCTCCTCATGCTAGCCTTCTGGAGATGGTGTGAATTTCTCCAATAGGTTGCGGGTTTTCCTGATTGTGAGGTGGTGGCGACGCTTGACCCATTCCAGCAACATACTAGCGAAGGTGACCATGTTGTATGAGCTTCTCAATCTATCTCTAAAGGTCGTAGCAATCATCGGTGTCTTGGCCATGGTCTTGATGGAAGCAACAATATTTGTTCGGGTTGCTGCAATTTGGAGGAGACTTCATCCTCCCTGGTCACTTTATTGCAAGATCATCTTGGATTTGAAATCGGATGTGCCCCACAATAGCGTTGAGAGGGGTGAAGGCCTGTCGTTCTCTCTGAGGAGCAGGACCAAGGCGGTCTTTGGCAAGTACCCTTTATGTCATGTTGCGCTTATTGCTACTCTCCTTCTTGTCGTCCCTATCTCTTGCCTTTCTCTTCTCCCCCATTCTAGAGGACTCACCTCTCCTGGCCCTTGTAATGTCTTCAACATTCATATACTTCTTGGCCTTTGCTAGCAGCTCTTACATGCTCTTTGGTGGACACTTTATTATTGAGAAGAGGAAGCTTGACGAGTGGAGGCTTCCCAATAAGGCAGTCATAGTCACCTTGTCATCGGGCTTCTCAACTTGGAGGACTATCTTGTTAAAATGAGTGAGGTAGCTTCTTAGACTCTTATCTCGATCCTGCTTTATGTTGAGCAGATGGGTAGCAGGCTTCTGATGGCGGCGCCCTCCAATAAATGGGACACGAGGACCTGTTCAGCTCAGCAAATGAGGCAATGGAGGCTGGGGAGAGCTTGACAAACCATTGTCGAGAAGATCCCTTCAAGGTGGTTGGGAACGCTCTGCACATGATTTCATTGGGGACGTTGTGCAGTTGCATCAAAGTTTTGTAAGTCTCGAGGTGATCTAGTGGGTCCTTGTTACCGTCGAACGTCTTGAGGGATGACATCTTGAATTTCTGAGGAAGGGTGTAGTTTGCCACATTTGGTACAAAAGGCGTGTCAACTTGCCTAATGAGGTAGTCTACAGTCTCGGGTCCCTACGCCTTCAGGGCATTGAAGACGTCACCCAGTTGATTTTGCACCTCTTTTATTTTTTTCGTCCCAGTGGTTAAGAGCTCATTTCGAATTGTCGTGAAAATGACTCTTGTGCTCCACACTTTGGTTTTCATCCTCATCTTCTTGAAAAAAAAGGGTCCCCACCATAAGATGCAAGAGTTGGAGGAGGAGGTAGAGGTCCCTTAGGGGGAGCTCCCCTGTGTGGGGCGCCGTGCCCAGATGAGAAGCGAGAGCTCCTTGGCGCCTAGGGCGTGGAGCTCCTCTGACTTGAGGTCCAGGCTATGCTCCTCCTTATTCGGCGAGCATCAATTGTAGGATCTACTGGTTCTGGGCCACAAGCTGCTGCATGGTCTCCAGCATCTACTGCGCATTTGGGACTAGATTGATTGGTGGAGGGACAACCTCCTCTACTCGTGGTGGTTTGTTTTCAGGCTGATTCATGGATCTGGTGGTGATTGTCATTGGTTCAACAAATGAAGCGTTTAGAAGTGAGAATTTTTGTTGTTTTCCACAGACGGAGCCAAATTGGTAATGCACAAATCGGCTATGCACACCACATGTCAAGTAATCAGTAGTAAATGCAGTAATTAAAGTAGAAAGAGAAGACAAAGATTATAGTGGTTCGGTCAATATGACTTACGTCCACTTTTGAATGGCTAGAGTTGGCGGATATTTTATTATTTCAAGGGTGTATGGTGAACAGAGAGTTACAAGCTTAGAGAGGGAGAGTAGAGTTATGCTCAATTAAGTGTGATACCCCTCAAGTGTTGGTGAGACTTACAATTTATAGTTGGCCCTAACAGATTGGGGCGACTTAATAACAACTAAATAACTATTTTTGTGGAGCTGACGATTTCTTCTCAACAGGCGAGGCAGTTGCAATGCTCTCCATGAGATTTGGTTAGAGGATGAGGTGAATGTTGATTTTTTTCTAAGCAGGGAGGATGAGACTCTTGGAGGACCTGCAACAAACTGATGATATAGCTACCTGAACTGGACTTAGACCACATTGGGCTTGTTGGGTCTTTATAAGCTTGGGCTCTAAGTTAAGATTTGGATATTCCACATGGATTGGGCCATTTAGGCCTGGCCCATCAAATCCCTTGACCCCTGATAGGTGAAACTTGTCTCTCATGTGCAAAATGTAGATACAAACCCTTCTGGGAATGTATAGAAGATGATGACCAGAGCAATCGCCATGGATCCTGCAAGTTGGGGACCATGCTTAAATCCATTTGACCCATCAGTCGTTGTCGGAGATGATACCCCTGTTGTTGCAGTCGGAGTCGGAGTCGAGGCAGTAATGTTGGTGAAGACGGAGTATTCTGGGGAGCTTGAAGGTATATTTAGAAGCTCTGCCCATTTGCAAAACCCACAAAAGGGGAGAGAGAGAGAGAGATAAACACTGTTATGTCAGCAGTTGTGTTTTTGTGTAAACTATAAAACACGCCATGTTCAATTTGATAGCATTCATTTTCACATTAAACTTGCACCTACAGCTTGATTGTCACCGAGCTTGCTTCTTTGGGATAGCATTCACTACAGCATTAACCTTGCACCTATAACCGTGAACACCCCCCGGGGGCGGGGGCATATATGCTTGGTAATAGCTAGAAATCTCTCCATTTTTTTTCTTGAGGTACCATCTATTAGTATGGGACTCATAACAATGGCCTCACTTGAATCTAAGGTAAATAATCTTTTTTTTTTTGTGCAAAAAAAAGGGTAGGACAAAGGAATGTGTCCAGAGACCATCCCGATAGACGTTCACTAATAAAATTATAAGATTCCTGATTGCGTTCATTACTCTTCTCGAGGATAAACTCAGTTAAGTAAGTATAGCGGTTAACTATAAAGTCCTAATGTGAACTTTAAAACTCAAATCTACAATCTCGAGTTAAAAAGTTTGGCCGATATCCCCTTGGGTGGTATTTAAGGTAAATAATCTACAAAAAGAAAAACCAAGGTAAAATGCAATAAAGGATATCTCACTCTACATATGAGAGCATTGACTATTGAAATGCATGCTTTTTATGGTTTTTTTGGCTTTGGCTAGTTCTACTACCTAAGTTTTAATTTCATGCATGCGAAGCAAAAAAGTCTTACTTGGGCAGTCACTGATGCTAACATTGGCCAACTTGCAAACAGAAGGTAGCTTAAGCAAGCGATCCTCTTGAACACCAAGGCTCTTGAGCTGTGAATTAGTGTCGTTGTGCATTTCCTGTATAATGTAACACAAGCACACTGGCTTGCTGTCTTTGATATCGGTCACAGCACTGTAACAGTCTTTCGTCGGCGTGTCCGCCTTTGCGGTGGCGTATGTTAGGCAAGCCGTGACCTTCTGAAAGTTGTCTGTGCACTGATCTCCTAATGAATCCCCACAAACTGCACCAATCAACCCGCAAACCACGTACATGGCCATGAAGAAGCTCAAAGCAAGAGAGGAGGCTCTCATTTTCTTCGCCATTTTTGGGAACTTTTTGCTAGACAATCGATGGTGATGGTAGTGAATGAGAATTTGATTAGGATATGGGTGAATAGAGTGTAATAATATAGATGTGAAATTTAAGGAAGAATGGTGACATGAGTTGTAAGGGTGGTGAGGATTTTAATGTGGCCCATGTGAGAGGTGGTTGGATCGGAAAGTTTACACACTTGTGGACTATTCGTCTGTTTTTATGTTCGCCTTAAATGAAGTTGAGCTATGGTTCGACCACGCGGCGTCCCCTCCGTTACTTGGAGACTTGGAGTTGTTACGAAGAGGAGCAATGCATCATTAAAAAGTAGATTTAAAAATTAGACTTAATAATTATAATCATTGATGTGTAAAAATTTTATGTATTAAATATTGGTGAATTTAGTGGACCTTACTAATCTAGCCACCCACACTAATTTGGTATACAAATTTTGAAAAATAATTTGATAAACATAGCATTACTACAAAAAAAACATGTAAAATGGAATAGTAATAAAGGACTTGGACTATCATATGGGGAAAAAATCATACATCTAAATTTTACTGTATTAATAAGTATTTTTATAATTTTTGTAGGTCATTTTACAATAAAAAAATTTATAACATTTGTGGGTGTTTTATCACTTTTGTGGTACTTGTAATCGATCTTATAACTTTTATGAGTGTTTTTATCATTTTTGTGTGTACTTGCGATTTGTCAACATGAGGTTTCTGAACATTTTTACCACAGTATTAACCACATTTTGTAGTAATGTTAGGATCGATCGCAATTATCACAAAAGTGTAAAAACAATTACCACAAAAATGATAAAAATATCCATAAAAGTAATAAATGACAGAACGGTACCAATTTTTTTTTTGTACCGTAGACTTGTCCAGTAATAATATTGGCCCCAAAAATATGACATAATAATGTGATAATAACATGGTCCAATAATATTATTTCAATTATAACTATTAGACTTTTTTATTGAGATTTGATTATTTAATACATTATTAGCTGAACAAATTAGATTATTTTTTTTTGGGTCCCAATAACATTATTTAAAATCCAAACTCAGACAAGAATAGTGTATGGGGCAAAGAATGAATTTATCTCCCATGAGGATTGTTAAGTTCGAGCTCTATATTCTGCCTCATTTTTCCTACAAAACGAACAAACTATTTAGGACTGAAGTGCTTCGATCGAAAACACTCAAATACTTAAGTTAGTAATTAATTGTAAAAAATATATGTACAGGGGCAATTGAACGTACATTTTACTGTGCACACTTGATTCCCTTTATAGTGTCTTCCTTCATTAGGGTTTCCGTGATTAATGATGCAAGGTGGCACACTTCCTATCAATTTGGAATATTTGTTAGGGATTTTTCAAAATCTCTCCAGACGCCCCCTAGTTGACTGACTCTTCCCGAGCCGTTGATTATGCTCATTTGTTATACCAGAATGCCTAAATTATAGGGATCCCCCCAGTGCGATGTTGCTTACATGTGGAGCTCGACTTTGTTGAATCCAAGCTCTTGATCTTCTTGTCGAGCTCTTAAACGGTTCGGCCTAACCTCGCGAGATGGGAGTCTATAACTAGACTTAGCTGTTGTTTTACTATTTCCTCACGTGATCTACCACGTTACCCTCACGTGAGCATATTAAATGCTCCTCACACGTGTCATAACGTTAATGTCCCTTCATTTGCGCCCAAGAAACGTGTGTCAAACGCTTTTCATCTGGCAGTCATTTCATGCTCCTAGGTTATCATTGCATGCACCCTTGGGACATGCACTTCATTTTGACAGTGTGTCTTGCAATAAATTTCTTTCCTTTGGGCTTCAGCTATTTATTTTTAAGTTTGTGCAAATTCTCTTTACTTCTTCACTTGCTCTTCTTCCTCTACCTTTTTTCTCTATTGCTCTGAGGTTGTCTTCTTCGACATGACTCCTCTTACTTCTTCAGAAATTCCTGCTTTCAAAACTAAATACCAAATCCTAGATGATGTTGATATCCGTGTTTCTAGGACTAATGAACCTCTGATTGGTACTAGAGAGAGCATTCTCATCCATACTCGAGCTATTACTGAAGGTGGGGGTTTGCTTCCCTTTTCATCCCCTTCTTGTATGGGTGCTTTAAGCACTAAAGTTGTGCCTCATCCAATGCTGCCTAAACTTCTTCAAGATTGTAATGGGTGCGGACTGTTCTCAACAAGTTGCTAAACTTGAGCCTGGGTCTTTGGGAGATCCAATTCTACTATATCATCAAGTCAGCTGGAGATAATTATTATCTTGTAATGAGGAAAAATGATCACTACCTGGTGACCCACCTCCCAGATTCAAATAAGGGTCATGAAAATAATGTTATTTTTGTTTCTAGCAATTAGGAGTATGTTGTCAGTGAGACTTCTTCTTATTGATGACCTTATAAAGAAGGTGCACCAGTGGATTGACGAAATTACTCTTTTTTTTTTAGAATTCCTCTCTTCCATACTTACTTTTCCTTTTTATGTAGGTGAAACTGTAAAAGGGAGAATTCTAGAGTGGTCGCTAAAGATGGAGGAACTAAAGAGGGTGTGGAACTTCAACGACTCACTCTTCTGCCGAGCTATCCACATCCTGCTTAGGTATACTCCAACCTATATGTCCTTCATCAACATCCCTCTCCGATCCAATGCTACTCTTGTCGATGACCGTCAAGCTATCTAGACTGTTTGGGACCATACCCCTCGCTCTCGTAAGAAAGCCTTATTGGCCTCTCTAGGAGAAACATGACAGTGAGAAACTTTCTCGATTTTCTTTCTTCAGCATAAACCTTCTCTGCTCTGCTGCAAAATCCTGCCAAACTTGAAGATCTCATTTCGGTCAACCTTGCCGAGGTAGATCATGCAACTTATTTGGAAGAGCCTTTAGATGATTCAATTCGGGTTTCAATGGATGCTATCCTTAAGCCCCCTGTTCACTCCAAGCTCCCTCCTACCCTTTTCAAGCCCCTTCTTTCCTCTTCTGATCTTCCAGAATCTATCTTTGTACTATCTGATGATCCTGCCCTCAAGAAACGTAAAGTTTGAAAACTTGATGCAGTTCTTTCTTTAGAGCCTATGATCCCCCTTTGCATACATATTCTAAAGGCTAAGAGGAGGGAAATTACTATCATAGAATTCGCTGCTAAAGATTTCAATGTGGCAATGGAAATTGCTAGAGGGGTGATTCTTCCTCGTGACTTAGCTACAAATGAGGCGCTGTCAGACAATGAAATCACTCGACAAGTTATTCAATAGATGGTTCTGGTATTTTTTCACTCCTTTGTTTCGTTGAAAAGTTAAGTTATTTTTTAGAAGTTCCCTTTACACGCCTTTCCTTATTGTTTGTAGGGACTTCAGAAGGTTCACTAAGTTGGGGCGAGGATCGCAAGGAAGGACAAGGCCATGAAGGAGGTTGTTCATGATCGCATGTCTACCTTAGTAAAGAAAGAGTCTCCTAATAAGGAATATGCAAAGCTTTGCAAGGAGATGTTGGTTCTTCAGGCTTAAATGCTAAGTCTGATTGACGAAAACAAGAAGCTTGCAGTAGAGGTAGAGCGGTTCAAGGCTGAAGCTAAGGATCGAGAAGATTCAACCTTCGAACAAGGGATTAAGAAGAGAGAAAATGACTTGGCTTTGTAGATTCCTACCCTAGAGTAGGTGTACTTCACCAAAAGTTGGCTTGTTGTAGGTGTACCTCAGTCTTTAGAGCTTTATACTCGTCATTCCTACGCAAGTTCATCTGAGCCACCACCATCTTGAAAACAATTGTTCTGAAAACATCAAACATTCTGAAATTGTTTTCTTTTAAAAAAAAAACTTGTATCTTCCTTTCCTTTTTTGGATATATATATAATGAAGATTGATTAACCATCAAAATTACTATTTTATTATATTTAATGATTGATTAATTACATATTATTTGTGATTAAATGTGTTGAATTCTTTGATTTTTTAGTTTGATACTTTTTCTAGTTTTTTGGTTTATTTTGCAGTTAAATTGGTTGATTTAAAATAATAATGGATAATGCAAGTGAATCAATCACTAGAGGAAGAATCGTAATTGATAAGGATTAAAGAGTCAAGATTGAATAGGAAGACTTGAAGATATGATAGCAATTTAATCCTTATAAGAGTCCAAGATGGAAGAAAATTCATTTAAAGTTAGATTAGGAAAGTATCCTAGAAGAATAAGGATTTGACACGTCTTCAATATTCTGGTCATAATTTTTAACTCTAATATTCGATTTACTTGATTTTTGGTGGTTGGAAATAAGACTCCAAGGGCTATAAAAGTGTATTGCACAAAAATTTCGTGATTTAGCCTCTAAATATGCGAAATCCAAGCTCGAAGTCTTGACAGATTTTGTACCCGCGCCCCAAAGATTTTATGCACGGGATTTAACCTTAAAAAACTTCTCTTTGGAAAGGAATTCCTTCCAAGACAACCTTATATCTTCTACTTATACATAGGATTTATTTTTAGTATAAATAAGGGCTTTCATGTAGAATTTGGAGATGATTCTTTTCCCATCTTTTCTTTTCTAGTTTTAGTTTGTCATGTCTGGCTAGAAGGTTAAGGTAGGGCTAGGGGAGAACCTCTCAATGAAGTACGGTAATGTTATTGATTCTGAGTTTAATGATTTATGATATTTTGTTAATTTAACTTCTGATTTTATAGCAAAGTTTTTGCTCTATAAAAATTCTTGAGTTGTTGTGTCATGTACATCGATTGCTTGAATTTTCCTGCGAGTAAATAACTGGTTATTCCATGCTTGAGGTAATTATCATTATTTCATAAAATGATATAATTGGATGATTATTCAGGTTCCTAAATAATCTTTTGATTATAACTTTTAGTTTTCTTACTTGATTTGTTATTCGAATTAACTGACATCTGATTCTTGTTCCAAGTTAAGTTTTGAGTCTTTAATCATTATTGTATGTAATTGAGAGGGAGTACCTGATGCTCTAGTATTTTTAT